GGCTTTCTGGGCTGTGAGTGCCCGTGGCCAGGTGATATGAGCTTCTCATCCACCAGTATGCCCAAGTCCTTCTCAGGGCTGCTCTCAGTCCATTCCCTCTTCAGCCTGTGCTTGTGCTTGGGATTGCCCTGACCCAGACACAGGAGTTGCACTTGGCCTTGTAGAATTTTGTAAGGTTTGCAGGGGCCCAGCTGTCCAGCTTGTCCTGGTCCCTCTGGGTGCCCCATCCCTTCCCTCCAGTGCATCAGCTGCACTACACAGCTTGATGTCATTGGCAAACTTCTTGTGGCTTCCCTCAATCCCACTGTCCACGTCACTGACAAAGATGTTAAACAGTGCTGGTCCCAAACTTGGTCTCCACTTGGGCATTGAGCTGTTGACCCCCACTCTGAGTGTGCCAGCCAGCCAATTCCTTATCCAGGGAGTGTTCCCTCTGTCATGTCTCTTCAGTTTAGAGACAAGGATCTCCTGTCAAATGTTGTGCACAAGTCCAGGTAGATGATGTCAGTCACTCTTCCCTCATCCACCAACACTATCACCCAATCACAGAAGGCCACCAAATTTGGCAGGTGTAAGTGAAGCCATGCTGGCTGTCAACAATCACCTCCTTATTTCCCATGTGCTTTAGCACAGTTTCCAGGAGGATCTGCTCCATGATCTTGCCAGGTCTTCCTTTTTTCCCCTTTTCAAAAATGAAGGTTATGTTTTCCCCTTTTACAGTCAGTGGGAATTTTACCAGATGGCCCTGACGTCTTGGTGAATGAAGATTGGCTTAGCCACTTCTGCTGGTTCCCTCAGGACCCACAGATGCATGTTATCAGGTTCCATGGTCTTGTGCACCTTCAGGTTCCTTAGATGGTCTCAAACCTGTTCTCCTCTAGCAGGTGGTCCTTCACTCTGCCAGTCCCTGCCTTTGCCTTCTGTAACTCAGGCAGTGCATCTGGAGCACTTGTTGGTGAAGAGTCAAAAACATCACTGAGTCCCTCAGCCTTCTCCATATCCCCAGTAACCAGGTCTCCTATTTCCTGCCAGAAGGGCCCACATTTTCCTTAACCTTTCCCTAATCACCAGTGTACCTACAGAAGCTTTTCTTGTTGCCCTTGGTCCCTTAGATTTTTTCAGTAGTGGGTCATTCCATGATGCAGGGAAGGTCTAACATCTCCTGGCTGCTGGAGGTGCACCTGCTGCTGTGCTTGTGTTAACATGAATGGATGTTTGTCCAGCTGTAGGAAATAGGGTTGATATGGGAGAGTTTGCTACAGCTACTAATGCTCACATATCTAAGTTAAAAATCTCACATTAAATAGTGTATGTGAGTTGATGATATCTCTACCTGAGCCATTGAGGTGGTATTTTCTGTTTCTGCATTGTTGGTTTCAAAGGCTTGTGAAGGAAGCTGAGGAGGTTTAATAGTACACATGTTTTTCTGACAGCACACAGGGCATTTATTGATAATTTGACAGTAAAATATGTTAAAGACATTTAGCCCATGAAAACCAACTCTCGAGGTTTTTGTAGTTATTCAAGCAGGGTGAAATATCTGTGACTTGGGAATAAACAGCAGGAAGGAGTTCTGTGGATTCAGTTGGTTTTCAGACTGATTTGACAGCCTACCACCATTCAGGTTTGTATGAGTTCCAGATATTGGGATTGGAGATGTACTGCCTCTGACATTAATTACTGAAGGTTTGCTTTCCTTCTTACATGCTTGGACTTTCTTAGAGCACCTTTACTGAGACTGAAAATTGGTTAGAAAATTGACATTTTTTCCCCATATCCTTGTTTTGCCATCTTTCTGTCTGCTTGTCTGGAGAAAAACGAAATCTGTTCCTCAGTTTTTAAGAACTGTGTGTTCTTAACTGTTCATCTCTTGAGTGAAGGAGAAGATCTCATGTTCTCTTACATGTGTTATACCTGAAATTTGAAGGCTAGGGGTTTTTCCTTCCTTTGTCATGCTTGATTTTAAATTGATGAGAGTTTTGTGGACCTGGCAGATCTGTTTTTACTGTACCTCATCCTTCAGACAACTTGATGGAATGGAAGCACACTGAAAGAAAATGTGACTGTCTGCCCCTGAGGTTGGCTAGCACAAACAACAATTCTTTTTGTGTTTTGGAGTGGCACTTAAGGGGAAAAACTGAAGAACTATCGAACATCTGCATTTCTGATCTACAAAAATAAAACCTCTCTTTAGTCAACAGGGGAACACAGCATGCATAGGTCCTTTTGTAGGAAAAACATTGAGTGCTAGAGAACTCTACATATATGCATTTTAAAAAATGTAACTAGGAATCAAGAACCAAAAGCTGAAGCAGGACATCTGAATGGAAAATTTGGCACCAGTGTATTTTACCGAGTGAGGTAATGGATAATTCAGGGCAATAATACTTGGCTTTTAATGCCTTCAATGAAAATGTTTCCCCAAAACTTAAATAAGGCTCAGAAAAATATGCTGTGTTTAATGAAGGTGGTCAGATTAGACAATCTTGCCTTGAGCTGGAATTAGGGAAATGTTTCCAGAGTTGTGATCTTCTTGTAGACTTCAGTGACACAGGGAACAAGTTGAAATAAGTGCCTGAGTGAGCTCTGGTGTAGTTGATAGCTGTGAGTGCCTGCTGTCCATTCCTGAGGGATGCCATCCTGTTGGTTGGGCTCACAGTCAGCAGGAGTGATGGTGAGATTCCTGGAGCTTGGCTGCTGGAGGGCTGTTCCTTCAGTGGACAGAGACTCTCAAACGTTGCACGAGTGTTCCCTTTTCCAGCCTGACTAACATGCCTGGCCACAGTTTGCTTTACTAGATGCTTTTTCCAGTCTCATTTGTTGTAGCTGGACACAACCTCAAATATTTGGTGTTTTTCACTCTGTTTTATTCTTTGTTTTTGCATCTAATTTTTTTTTCTGTGAGCTTTCTGCTGTTCCTGACATCCTTCTTCTTTTTTCCTGAGTGCTCAGTTTTCAATCACCAGACTCCCATCTCCGATTTTTTTGTGTTCTTTGCATCAACTTCCAGTCTTTTGCCACCTGTCCCATGTTTCCTCTGCTCTTTACATTGTTGTTGGATCTGGTTTTCTTATTGTTTGCTTTCTTCTCTCTCAGTGCTTCAATCCATTATTAAACATTAGACAGACAAGTGGGTTTTTTGTTCAGTTCTCCTTGGTATCAATGGAATTTGGTGCAGGAGTCTCTTGTAAGGTGTGCATGACACAATCAGGTGCCACATTCTGGCAGATCTCTGGTTTGGCAGAGGGCAGTGCTGCAGCTCCAGCACTAATGAGGACTAAACATTAGCACAGGGTGTAAAGAAATGAGTGAAACTGTGAAGTCCAGGGTTAAAAGCTCAGCCCTTGCCTGGGTGGAGCCTCCCACAAGCAGGTTACAGTGAGGTCAAGGGGATCAAAAGTGACTCCTGGTTTGTTTGGACACAGCCTGGTTTTTGGGACAGGTATCAAAGTTAAGGGTCTGTTGATGACCTTTGTTAGTTGATAGATTGTTTTTCACCTTGAGCTTTGTCTGCGTTGCTTTTGTTAATAAGCATTTTTAAGATTCAGCAGTACTTGATGGAGAGAAGAACTTAAAAAATAAAGGGAAAAAAGAGCAAAATTATGTAGTAAGGAGCCTCATTTCTTGATCAGTTTTACCTTTGGTAGAACAAGTTATGCCAGTCTTGCAAGATCAGTCTTGCAATGTTTTTGCTGGGTATCCCTCTGACTTAGATCCACAGAAGAGTAGGAAGATGCTCTTCCACCCTCACAAATAAATGCACAGTTCTTGTAATACTTTTCATAATTCTATGTGTATATCAGCTAAAATTTCACTTTTTCAGCCAAACTGATCTAGCAACTATCAGTTCCCAAATGGACAATCTCATCCCTTTTTCCTTATATGCTGATCCAAGTGTTTTACTGATGCTGCAGCTGATTTATGGAGGATTTTACGATACTGTCCTATTTTTAGGTGCAAGGTAATTCTTCTTGATGGCTTTATATTTCTTTTTTATGGTAGCCTTTCAAGTTCTGAAAGCTAAAAATTTTAATTTTCTTCAGTGTCTAGGTTCGTTTCTGAGACTGGATAATTGCAAAAGTAGAACTTTTGCAAAGAAATCAGCCAAAGTCCATCTCTCCCTAAATCCCATTGTTTCACTGCAGTATTGTACTCATCTTTAGCCCTAAAAACAGGAGGGTTGCTGACTGCAGAGTGTGTGTGCACATACAACTCATGCACAAGGTGCATCAGTTTGTTAAACTGCTGGGAAAGCTCCCCTCTGCTTTATCCCACACTCCCCCTGTGTGTGTATCCTTTGGTTCTTGGGGACATTGAGGTAGTTGTGAGATCATGAAGGACAGTGGAAACACAACACTCATTCTAGAAATTAATTCTGTTTTTGCAAACTAAATGCCAGTGTGCTTATTTAGAAAATAATGTCCTGCTAATACTTGATTCAGAGCTTTAAGGAGAAAGCAGATGTGCCCTTAAATTATACAGAAAAGACTGGTCCCTCTGTAATAATATGCATGGAATATCTGGTTTTAGACCTGCAAATGTTGATTTAAGACCTCTCTAAACCTTTCAATGATAATGAAATACAAGTGTAATCAAGTGTCAGTTAGGTGACCTTTAAGGAAGGGATATGTGGGGGTGTACAGCAAACTCCCTTTTCATTCATGTGGGATGATGGGGAAGGAAAAACCTGTGTTCAGCTGGTGAACTACTGCAGCAAAGGGTCTGTTCCTCCTGAGGCACTGAAGTACAGTACAAGTACTAGTTGGAAAGACATCTGGAGGGGAAAGACAAATAGTTTTCAGATATTGATTGTGTTGTTCTCCTTAAAACACTCATTTTTCCTTATATGTTACCAGGAACTGGTGGAAACAGTATGTGTAACTGAGATTTAACTGGTTTAAGGTTTCATTGTTGGTAAAGGCATCACAGAACTTAACATTTTCATATTAGTTACTAATGAATGTGGTTGGAAAAAACCCCAATGATTTCTCTTTTTACAGAAAAACCTGCCATTGCTCCACCTGTCTTTGTATTTCAGAAGGATAAAGCACAGAAGGTAAGGAGATGTTGATATGGTTTTTTATTTGTTTTGTTCTTGGCCTTGACTCCTTCCATGGTGATCAGCCCTTTGTCTGTGAAGTTGAAGATGGATAATAGAGCATTAACATTATTAAGGGGCATGGGGCAAGGAGGTACTGAAAGGCTAAAAGTGGGAAGATGTGTGATGGTAGCACAATACAGGTAGCTCCTCAGACAGAAAATGGACCAGTCTGGGAGAAAAAGTATCTGTGAAGGTGTATCTTGAACCTCTGGCAAAGGAACACTGACAGTTGAGTTGCATGAGAAATCTATGAAGTTTCTTTATCTGATAATCATGTTAAGACAAAGCAAAGCAAACTGGTCTAGATTATCGTTTTTCACCTCAGCACGTTTAAATGTCTCTCATATCTTTGGTTAGCAAGCTGTAAAGTGTTAGTTACCTTGGGAAATGGCAATCCTGGTCCCTCATCTCGATATGCTGATGTATTTAATTCTTCCTGGTTAATAGTAAAAGCTGTTAAGATTTGGGGGGGAGGAAAAATCAAGGTTACCATTGTTTCACTTGAAGATGGTGGGAACCCAGAGAAGTGTAACTGTGTACACACGATGCACGTTCTGTTGGATCACTGGATTATGTTATCTGTGCAGTCAGAAAATGTTTGAGTTGAAATAGTGAACCATTTTTCAGTGGATAGCTTTTCTTTGGTTTGGAACAAGTGCTTTCTCACAGGTTCAGTAGGCATATTCATCATCAGAGCTTGAAATCTTTTCTCAGCTTGGGAAGGATTTAAATCTGCTCTCCTAATATTAGCTAATCAAATTAAATCTACCCAAGAGTAAGTACTTTGAGATGTCCTTTCACTTAGATCTTTTACAGCAATTGTTTGCATGTGCTTGGGAGTGAAGGGAGTGCTGGTGTTTGCACTCTCCATTTAGATCATATTTAGATCACTGTTGCTTAGACTGTTGCTGAAGTCCCTTCTGAGGCTCATCATGGTGAGTGTTGTCCCCAGGTGTCTTTACCCTGGCAGTGCCTCCATGGTCAGTCTGGAAGCAGTGAGCATAGCAGTGTGCAACTCAGGCAGAGTGAGTGATGTGGTCCTGTGTCCTTTTTTGTTGGCCTGGTCCTTACATGCCAAGATGACAGTTCTTGTGCTCTCAAGTTCCTCCACGTTGTACCTTTGGTTCTGCACAGAGTGCACACATTCAGAGACCTGTACAGTCCATGCCTTAGGCTGTGCAAGCTGCTGCATCAAACTGTGAGACAGATCTGTTGTACTCTGATAGATCTCAAGAAAATATTTATAAAAAAATATATTAGTTAAAGGCTTAATGTATTTTTTGGACTGGCAGAGAGGATCCAGGGAGAGAGAGATCTCTGTCTTCCCAGCTGCTGAGAATTCTGAGCACTGTGGTGGTGCTGAGCCAGTAGCTGGGTTCAGGCCAACCTGTGCCCAGGCACAGCCAGAGCTGTGGGGTGAAGGGGCTGTGTGTGTCCAGCCCTGGGGGTTCCCAAGCACCTTGGAGGTTACAGGGGTTTGAGAGGAGTTAGAAATTAATCTCAATGCCAAATGGGGGTGGTGGTGCTATCAAGGGGCAAGCCATGGTCACTCTGGACATGGAATAAGGCTTGTTCCTTGAAGCAGGTCAGGAAGAGTCTGGCATCTGTCAGTTAGTTGCCAATTTTCAAAGTAGTAACAGGCATAAATGCTCATGTTAAAGTGTGTATTGTATGGAGATGTAGGATTTTCTTAAAGGGGAAGGGAGAGTGATTAATAATTTTAATAGCTTCTACTGTGTGTATTTGACACTGGAGAGGAGTGGTAGAAGCATCAGTGCTGTGCTTCTTGCAGTTTGATTAAATAAAGCTTTTGCCAGTAGCTGGTTTTTGGTATATGGATAAAATGGTAATATAGTTAGAACACGGTTCTGTGAGCCAAAAGTAACAACTTTTATGTATATAGATATACATCTATACTGTATATATCAGAACCTAGCATTCAGGCCAGCTTTGATCAACTTAATCAAGGAAAGGTGTCTCAGGTTACACACTGGTTGAGACCTTTCACTGTATTTTCAGAAAGACATAATAGCTAAATGTTCCCATTAACAGTTAACTCCATTAGTATTTCTGTAAAAGGTGCCTGGTTAAGTGCATTGCCTGCCACAACAGACTATCCTTATTAAAGTTAACAAGGAAATTCTTTGAACAAAGGACTTTTTCCTAGAGCAATGTTTTGAAGAAAATGCCAAAGTAACTTCAAAATAATTGTCAAAAAACACACTTCTTGAATATGCAATTTCTCTATGTAAATTGCAATTTTAATTTAGTCTGTCAAGTCACTTTTTTTCTGTTAGCAGAAGTGTTCATGGAGGCTTTTCAGTGCTGACACAGCAGTGTGACAGTCCTCACTGGGGGTGAGGAAAAGCACTGCATTGTGTGTTCAGTTGTATGTGTGTATTCAGTATGAGGGTTGCTAAGATGTTTGCCTAGTGCTCTTCCACGTGAACCAGGACATCCTGAGCAGAATTAGTTTTCTGCAGAGTCTACAAACTCTCTCAGTATTACAGCTGGGTTGATATAATTCAGTGGTCTTCCTGCCTTTTCTGAAAGTAACTGTCTAGGTAGGTAACTGTCTACTATTAAGTTAAACAACATTATTTTTCTAGAAATCTCTACTTAAGTTTGTACTTGTAAGGTATCAGATATTTGGGTCACACCAACCCAGTGGAACACTCCAGGTCTGGGGCAGAGTGGCTGGAAGACTGTGCAGCAGAGAAAGACCTGAGGGTGCTGGTCAACAGTGGCTGAACATGAGCCCAGGTGTGCCCAGGTGGCCAGGAAGGCCACTGGCACCTGGCTTGTGCCAACAACAGTGTGTCCAGCAGGGCCAGGGCAGTGACTGTCCCCTGTGCTGGCACTGCTGAGGCACCACCTCAAATCCTGGGGTCAGTTTTTGGCCTCTCATGACAAGACTTTGAGGGGCTGGAGAGTGTCCAGAGAAGGGAACAGAGCTGGGGAAGGGGCTGGAGCAGCAGGAGTGCAGCCAGGTGGGGGTCAGGCTCTGCTCCCAGAGAACAAGGGGCAGGACCAGAGGAAATGATCTCTAGTTGTGTCGGGGTGGTTTAAGTTGGATATTAGGAAACATTTCTTCACCAAAAGGTTGTACAGCCCTGGCACAGACTGCCCTCCCATTCCTGGAGGGATTTAAAAGCCATGTGGATGTGGCACTTGGGGACATGGTTAGTGGTGGCCTTGGCAGTGTTGGGTTGATGCTTGGACTTGATGATCTTAGAGATGTTTTCCAGCTGGAATGATTCTATGGTTCTATGATCTGTTTCCCCATTAGAAGTTGGAAAATACTCAGTGTGTTGTAGGACAAAGTTCATACTAGTCTGGAAACTAATTTTATAACTTGTCTTCCAGCAAAGGTTTTATGCACTTTAATAGAACTTTAGAACTTGCAGCTTGTCTTGTTGATTTAGAGGGGACAAAAAATGCATGGTGTTCATAATTCTGCCTCTAAATTTTTTTGTTCAGTAAGGAGGTTTGAGTTGTTTTCTTTTGCAGTTAAAGAGAGGATTAGTCTCTCTGTTGTCATTTTCATTATAGATATCAGTTAATGGTGGATGTCAAGTTGGCTGTTTCTACATTTGAGTGAGTCTCCATTTTTGTGATTTTCATATCTCCTTAACACGCTGAGAACTGTTTTTACAATGTGTGAAATAGGGATAGTCTCACAGATATCTGAGTGTTAGCACTGCTGTTCCTATTTCTGACAGGCAGAGTTTCTAATGCTGATGCTGGTTGGAAAATTGCATCAGCTTAGGAGGACTCAAACTGTTAAGATCTGAAAACAACAAAGTCCAAACCTCGCTGTGTTAGGCATAGAATATTTCTGTTATTCCATTATCTATCCCAATAACTTACGAGCTATGCTGTGCTTTGCATAACACTTTTTGAATTCAATATTTCAGTTGATGGATACAGCTTATTCTGTGATGAATGTTAGACCCTTGTTTGACTTGTGTTTCTGCTCTGAAACTAATTTTAGTTTTGCCATAAAACCATTTCATGATAAATTTCTGGCCATAGGTTGCTTGAAGATATTTTCTGAAGTTAACTTTTAACATGCATTTCTGAGGTGAAAGCATTCTGGGTTTTTGGATTTACACATTTTTAGCAGGTATAATAGCTCAAACAGATTTAACACAGTAGTGTTGTAAAGAAACACTTTGTCCAAAAATGCTTTTGTAATAATGTCCTTTGTTCTGCAAATGTGAGCTGTGGTGATCTTCTGGCCATTACTGATTCTCATCATGTTAGGATGATCATGACCTCCCTAGTCTCAAGTACAACAACAGGTAGATGTGCAACTGTGATTTAAAAAGTTTTTGTGCTTGGAAACAAGCCATTGTCTGTGGTGTAGCTTGCACCTTGTCCTCTTCCCTTTGCCAGCCTGGGTTGGGATAATGGTAGAATATAGAAAAGAACACTTTATAGGAAAAAGAACAGCTTGTTTTATGACTAGTTTTGGTCAGTGTACTGCTTTCTGTAGGTGAATTGATAGTGCTGAGCTTTTAGGGATGACTCTGAAGGAAGATAAGTTACATGATGCTTGGGTCATGTTCCATTCTGAAGTGGTACAAAGAGTTTAAGGGGTAACTGGCATCTGGGTGCTAAAGGTAAAGGTTCTGGAGTGAATAAGGGTTTATGTTGTTAAGTTGTTCTAGCTGTCATCAGTTTTAAAAGTAGGTGTGGAGTTGTAAAAGTGATTTAGGTGATGAGAAAGATGGCATTTGCAGGTAGTCTGGAGAGCAAAACCACGAGTTAAAAAAATAAGTTAAGATGATGTGTAAAGTAGGGATTAGTTGAAGTCTTGGTTTGATGTGGTATTATTGGGAAGTGCTTGAGTTTGGTGGTTTGAGGAGGTCAATGACTAGAAAGTATTGGTCATGCTGTAGGCATGACTTGTAGGTTTAGGGTGGTGGCAGACAGAGAACTGTGGATGAAGTAACTTGTGTATGGAGAGACAAAACCTTCCCTTGGCCAGGCTCTCTCAGCATCCTTTGCACAACTACCAAGACTTGGGTAGGGACACCTGTTTGAACAATGTTGTAAGTCAACAGCATACTTAAGGAGTTAAAATTGATGCCTGAGAGTTCATAACTGTGAATACATTGCTGCTCTTGAACTAATGGTCATGAACATACTTGGAGAGACAGTTGTGCAAGGTGAAACTTGGAGAATATAGAGGTTGATAATGTCAGAGGCAGTTGAGGATACCAGCCAGAGGTCTTTGGCTCTGAGCAGGTCAAAAGTGTGAAAAGATATACTGAGAATAGTCTTTTTAGACCATTGGTGGGGAAAATGAGGAAAGGAGTTGCAAATAGCACAACTTAGAAATGGAAGGAGAAGCTGATCCAAGGGTTCTTATGCCAGTCTTTATTGAAAATGCATTTTATTTGCTTGCCTATATTTGGAGGTTGTAGCATCATATGAATCTTAGCTTTTAAGTATTCTTTCATGTCTCTCCTTATTTTCTGCAAGGCAGAGAAAGCCAAATCTCTGAATAGACTTGAATGTATTTAGTCTGAGTGGATTATTTTTAGTTTTAGTAAAATAGATTCTGTTTGATCTGGCTGAGCAAGGTGAGTTTGTGTTGATGGCTTCCTAACATTATTCATCTCTCTGTTGATCTTTGCCTTAGTCTTTAGGAGACAGGAACAGATTTTTGCCAAGTTATCCCTAGAGCTGTACTTTATAAGGGGTGTTCCCTATAGAGAAGAGGAGGCTCCAGGAAGGAGACACATCTCAGACAAAACATTACAGCAAAAATGAAGAGAGTGAATGTTCACCAGGTACAAAGAACTTCAAACAAGAACTTAGATCAGAATTCATGAAGTTAGGAGATTAGGAAACCCTTTCAATAGCATGTGTGACTGAAGACTACAATTAATTTTAGGAGTTTGCAATTTCCCATGAATATGCTTTCTTGAGAACAGCTTAATGAACTTCTGCCTGGAGTAGTTCTGTTTTGACAAATCCATGAGTCCTTTGTTGATTTTGTCTTCCATGACTTAAACCAACTAAACACTCTTAAATAGTATTCACAAAATTCTGAAACTTGCAATAGTTTTTTATTAATTTGATATATTTTTTCTAATATAATTTTATGTATTGACGTGGCCATGAAATCTCATCTTGGCTTCAGATTTTTTTTGGTGTAAAAGTGATGATTGGCAATAATTGTTATTTCTGGTTTATTTCTTTTGTGGGTCTTGAAGCATATATTCCAACCTTGCTCAGGATAGGAATCAGAGTTATATTTATTTTACTTTTTAAAATACTTGTCACTAATTACTGTTATTAAAATCTCTTAGATGTTTAGCCCACTTTTAGGTGTTCTAAACTGATATAAATTACTTGCAAAATGATTTGTCATTTCCACTTTTAAGTGTCTAGCACAAGTGTGTGTTGAATGTTCTCGCCTCTTCTTGCATTATTAGCAATTTTCTGATCTGTAGCTAAAACTCAGTGTAAATTTCTGGTAAGGCTCTTTTTTTTTTCCTTTTTTTTTTTTTCTCTTTCTTCTAATTTCTCCAGTTGCTTGCTGAATGTGTATGTGGAGCTACTGGGATCCATGGCATCTTCTGACAGGAAGTTTAGCAGGATGGGCTTCTTGTCCCCTTTAGTTTTGGACAGGACTTCTTTTGAGCCTGTAATAGCAAAGTTTAACGAGATCCTTCCAGCTCTTGCTCTGTGGCAGTCACTGCATTGGCACCTTACATGCCACTTATGATTTCACAGTTATATGCCTGCTCCTTTTTACTCCAAATTCTGTGTATTATGGCTGAAGAATAATAAGGTTTTTAGCTATTTTTATGTGGAAACACTTCCACACCCTCTCTCTAGGCATTATTTTGCCTCTTATGAGCACTGAATCTTTTTGGTAATCTCCAGCCTCAGTCTGGCTGTCTGCAGTTCCCTAATCCCTGCTGCCTCCAGACCCCTGGTGATGGTTGGCTCATCCTGAGGATCATTCTGGCTCCTGACAAGGAGCAGAATTCATTCCCATCCCTGTCAAATCCCTGGATTCATCTCCATCCCCATTTCCTAGTACCCTTCTCGTTACAGCTTTTCAGCACTGTGGCTTTTAGGGTGCCCCAACCCTGCTCAGGTTCTTCACAGGCTGTTAATGGCAGGGTTGTCTCAATGGCTGTGCCAGCTGGGCAGGGTGTGGGGGTGTCAGTGCTGCAGGGACAGGCTCTGTCCCTGGGGAGCTGGACAGGGTGAGGGGGTGTCAGTGCTGCAGGGACAGGGGGTGGGGGTGTCAGTGCTGCAGGGGCAGGGTGTGGGGGTGTCAGTGCTGCAGGGACAGGGTGTGGGGGTGTCAGTGCTGCAGGGACAGGGTGTGGGGGTTGTCAGTGCTGCAGGCCAGGGGGTAGGGGGTGTCAGTGTGGCAGGGACAGGGTGTGGGGGTGTCAAGTAGCTGCAGGGGCAGGCTTTTTTCTGACCCCAGGGAGCTGGGCAGGGTATGGGGGTGTCAAGTGCTGCAGGGACAGGGTATGGGGGTGTCAGTGCTGCAGGGACAGGGTAGGGGGTTCAGTGCTGCAGGGACAGTGTGTGGGGGTGGTCAGTGCGCAGGTATGGGGGTGTCAGTGCTCAGGGAACGGGTTGGGGGTGTCAGTGCTCGCAGGGCAGGGGGTGGGGGGTGTCAGTCTGCAGGGACATGGGGGGTGGGGTGTATGCTGCAGGGACAGGGTGTGGGGGGGTTGTCAGTGCTGCAGGGACAGGGTGTGGGGGGTGTCCAGTGACTGCAGGGACAGGGGTGTGGGGGGTGTCAGTGCTGCAGGGACAGGGTGTGGGGGGTGTCAGTGCTGCAGGGACGGGGTGGGGGTGTCAGTGCTGCAGGGGCAGGGTGTGGGGGTGTCAGTGCTGCAATGAGCAGCTCTTGGCCCAGGAGCCGAGTGCACGTGGTTCTGCTGTGGCTCGATGGATCCCCAAGCCTAATACTTGGAGAGTCTGGTAACTAGTGACAAAGTGATGGGGGTTTAAATGTTAAAACCATTGTAGATGTTTCCAGAAAACTAGAAACCTGCCTGACTTGCTCCCTGGCAGAGGCTGGCTCTGCTCAGGCAAGGTGGGCCTGCAGGTGACCAGAGGAGGCTGGGCAGGATTGAGGAGCTGTGGGGGAAAGGGCTGTGTTGGATGATTTGGGGTAGCAGAGAGAGAACCAAAGGACATGTGCATTTTAAGCCATGAGAAATATCAGCTCTTCAGTGCTGCTGCTTTATAATTGCTTTTGTGGTGAGTGTGATGCAGGTAACTTGTGACTTAATTCTTGTGCTTTTTTTATGGCTGTCTCCCCGTGAAGGGGAAGAAGACAGTTTGAGTGGCCTGTGGAGTGCCCTTGGCCTCAACAATGAGGCTTTGCTTCAAAAGGGATTAGGAGTAACGGGTTTTAAGCATCAAGTGGAGAACTGAGGTGTTTACTTATTGTCTTTCTCTGTGACTGACATACCTATGTTGTAAGTGCTGGGGCCAGCTCCAGGTAGCCTTTTCCTGCTGTTCTCCCCAGCAAAAGAGGTAAGGAAGGTTGCTAGAGTGCTAGACTTGATTAAATTTTTGGTGACAAACAAAATGTTTCTTTAACTCCTCTCATTCTGTGGGGTTTTAAGTTAATGTTTGGATCTGTTAGTAACAACTAAATATTAAAACCAGAAAATTTTGATAGTACAAAAGCCCAGCATCCCCAACTTTTACCTGACATAATATTACCCCAGTAAATATATTTCAACTATTTTCAGCCTTAATTGTAGTAATTTCTTGCAAGATAAAATTTTATGTGTTGCAGGCTTTTAGTAGTTGTTTCTGTTATGAGAACAGGCCAAATCTTACTGGGAGAACTTGGGGCCCTTAAGATGTAAACGCTGCTGTTTATTTTTGAGGCTTCTGTTTACTCTCTTGCATGGCCCTGGCATTTTTAATCTCTCTTCGTTCTACCAAGTGTTTTCTGTGAACAAGCCAAGGTTGTGTTCATCTCTGCCTTACTGCTTGATTCTTTAGATATTTTATCATAAGACATTGGGAAGCTTGGCCCACAGATCTCAACTGGGAGCACATCCTTGGCTTGCATGTTATCCATCAACTATAATTTAGTCCTTAATTACAATACAGTTGTTTGGGCTCAAAGCCCATAAGTTTTTTACTCTTCAGATGTGTGCAGAATATGATAATGCTTGATTTTTGTTCTACAAGCGGGGATGTGCAGCATTTAAATGATGTGAAGAAATGACAAGTCTGTGGCAGAAGTTCAGCAAATACCAAATTGCATTAGGGTGCACTAGTTATCCTGTCACCTCCCTCCTTGAAAGAGATGTGCAGACTTCTTAATTTATGAAAGAAAGCATTGATGTTGCTTTTTGGATAATTCACCATCACGTGAATCTGAAAGGATCACCTGTCTTGTGTGAATGTTAAAATCATTTCTGTGGAGAGTTTTGTAACCAACCTCACCTCCCTGAAACGTGAGCTGAAGAAGCAGTGAAGGACAGTTATTCACAGTAATTGTCTATTTAATATTTATGTCTGAATCTGGGGGTAAAAGCTGTCAGCTGTCTTTAAGTGTTCAAGAGAAGGAGTTAAACTCCAGCAGCCCTGTGGCTGGCAAAGTGTTCTTTGCCGGGGACACAGATGATTTTGGCTAACTTTCAAAAAAGTGCATTTGCTCCACGTGATGCTTTTTGTGGGGAGGGGAGGCTGAGTCAGCCAGCAGGTTGTTTACATAGTTCCTGTGTGTTTTAATTGGTGTCTCAGCAGCGAGCAGCTCCTCCTGCCACACTGTGAGAACAGCAGAACTTAAAAAGGGGTTAGCAGATGCTCTCAGTGGGACAACTGCTCTCTCATGTCGCAGCCTTGCACTGAAGGGACGTTGTCTTTTCTGCTCACAGTCCCCTGCAGAGCAAAAAGCTTTGTCGGATTCAGGCGAGGACCCCCGGGGAGAGGTTGAGCCCCTCCACCATGGTGTGGGTCATGCAGAACCAGCTGGTGAGCGCGACTCTGAGCACCCTGCTCCCACTGTGGCCTCAGTCAGTGCTGCCCTGAGGCCCGCTGCTGAAGCCCAGCTTGCTCCTATTCAACAAGAACTGGCAGGGGTAAGTGTCAACCTACCAAGTCCTTCTGCTGCTGAGGGGATTAGAGGAAAAAGTCCCTTCTACGCAGTGGAATCGTTACTGTTCATTGTAGGCAGTGCAGCTCACTGTCTGTCTGGTTCTTTGATCTCAAGTGTTAGTCCTCTCTAAGTCCCTGTTCCAATTAGCAGAAATTAGATTTGTTTGGGTCTCACTAGTGTAAGACCTGTTTGGGTCTTACTAGTGTAACTCTAGAAGATGCCTCAAGTATTTTAAGATTTAGGGTGTAAACTGTGTGTTTGCTAAGGATGAGAGCACCTCTAAAAGAGTGAGTGCATCTGTATTTGTGGGATTTGCTTTAAGCAGTTAGAGGAGAGCTCTTTGTTCCATCTGAGCCATAATGCTGCAGCTTGACAAAGCCAGCAGTTAATACTGTGTTTCCACTGGATATAAAAGGAGCTTGTCATGACAACCTGTAAGGTACTTAATAGATTAAAAGCACCAAGAATCATACTGAAGCAGAACTTTGAGTTTAAGTATTTGATGGGGGAGGAAGTCAGTACCTTGCAGTTGGAAAAGCTGTCAGAGCTCATAATTTAAGATTTTTCTACTGGTGGTGCAGCAAAATATTTTCTGGAAGATTAGATGACTAAATGGCTGCTGCTGTAGAGTTTTTCAGAGCAATTTTAAGTGTTCCTAATCTTTCTGGTTGGTGGGCCATATTTTCTTGGTGCAGGAGAGTATCACTGGTCACTGTGACACCACATCCTAGGCATGTGCTCTTTGCTAGATCTTTGCCTGTTAAGGCTGCTCCACCCAATACCTGCACCCTTTTCTTGACTAGTTGGTTTGGGTTTGTTTTTTTTTTAATCCAAAAATGGGTCATCTCCAGTAAACCCAGTGCTGAATGGATTGTCATGACAAGGTGCAAATAGCTGTAGGTTGGGCACATTTCCATGTTCAGACTGTTGCTTGATGACCTGCTGCAGAAATCCTTCTGTTTCAGATTCTTTTGTGAAGATGAAATGTTTCGAGGACTAAAATATAGCTGGTCAACATAGTCACAGACTTTTATCTCAGTTTTCTGTCATTTGAGATTGCAGTGTTACTAGAACTGTCCAAGAGAACTGCGTTAACCAGACTTTCAGGAAAACTGTAGCAAGTGGTTATCTTGGTCTTATTCTTAGCAGAAAATCTTACTCCAGTTAACCCAGTTCTGAAAGAAATTTAAAAACCAAAACTGCTGTTGGGGATTATATGCAGGAATTCGTGGCAGTACAGAACAACTGTCTCAGCATCCTTGAATTTGACTCCATTCAGTTAAATTTATGGAATTGTACAGTGCTCAGTAGGGGCATGTAACTGGCCTTCACGTGCACTGGCAAGCACTCTTCCAATTATCCCAATCTCTTAGAGTGAAACCATCTCTTACCTTGAAATACAGAGAAGGTTGGCACATCTTCAGTGTGCTTGTACTGATCTGCTGGAGCAGAAGTTTTCATGCAATCTTCCTAGGGCCCTGGGAAGATGGGTGAATTAAGACTGAAGAAGAGACACTACATATTTCTTGTTTACTTGGTATTGTTTGTACACTCAGACAGATATTTTTGCTAAGACTTGAACACGGTGTGGCCAGAGATACAGTCATATATAAGTGTACTCTTACAGCTTTCCCTGAATTACATTGGCCTTTTTTTTTTTTACTTTACTCAAATTCTCCCTTCCTGTCCCTGTTTCTGTTCATTTATTGTGAATAAGCAAAACCAGACAAATTTCTTGAAGTTTTTAAGTTCTTCTCTCTTAGTTTGATGTAGCAACTGTGTGAGGAAGTAATGTTAGTAGTCTAGTTAATTATGGTCACTGGCACTTTTAAAAAGCAGTTGGTAGCATTTGTAAAGGTAATTTCCTTAATTAGAAGTGTGTCAGAATTGTAGGAAGCTCTATTTAGAAATAATTGTAACATTCCTGTAGCTGGATTTCTAAAAGCAGGGGGAGGAGAGAGTAAGTGAAAGGTGGCTTCTGCTCTTAAATGAGAAAATTGTAGGTTGGATTTTGATGTTACTGGTTTAAGTGTCTCTTCAGCATCTAATTTCAAAGCACTGAATGGAGAGAAGTTGAGTCACCTCGGTGGTTCCTTCCAGGATGAGATGGGCCTGCCTTTTGTTTCAGTTGTACTTGTGTAAAGCAGGGATTGCTGTAACACAGACTGAGTAGGCTGGGAAGAGAGGCCTAAAACTGAAGAGGCTGAACTGCTGTTCACTGTCATTAACTGTAATTTGCTGGTTTTCCAGCCTGTCAGGTGTGTCATCCATATGTACCCCTGATATATTCCCCTGATTTTTGTCTAGTCTCCCCAGGTTCCTCTGAAGCAGCAATTCTGGCTGCAGTGGTAACTTGCTTTATTGTGTGGCTTCATCCAAAAGTGAAGCTTATCCAGTAGATGTGTGTCCCCACACTCCCACAGGATCTGCCTGTTTGTCCAAAGGTGCACAGCTTTAATCTCCCACAACTCTTGGACTAGGAAACAGGGAAATAACTCAGAGCAGATGCTCTGCTGTGCTTTGCCCTCAGTAGGGTCCAGAGTTGGGTTTGGATTTTGATGCCCACTGAACATGGTGGTGGTACATTAGCTGTGCTTGTGTCAGTGAAATTACAGTGATGTGATGATCTGAGGCTTGTACTATACAGGTTTGGCTTTTTTTTGTCTGTTATTTGAACATTGAGAGGACAACACGTATTAGAAACAACTTAAGAAGTTTTTGATGTTCAAGGGGAAACCACTGATTTATTTTTAAGGATTTTTGCATATTGAGATCTGCAGTTCCATTCATGCAAATTTTTTACCAAACATTTTCCTTTTGCTCTCAGGATTTTTGATAAAAGTTGAAACAAGTTGCTGGTATCTGTGACAACACTTTCTGTGCAAAATAGATTATTTTTCCTGAGTTCGGATGCTGGTTGCTGAAATAGGTATAACATGATTTTCCACTTAAACCTTATCTTTTGCAAAACTGATGTATGTTGACAAGGGCAATGACTAATAAGACCACCTTCTAGTACTGTGGACTAATTCACTGATTATATAGGAAGAGCCAGGGATGATCCAAATGCAGTATTAACACTGATAGATGTGTGTGAATGGAGGGGATTGTGTTCCAGAAGTGTCAGTAGCTTCTCATTCTCTATGCTAAAGGTTTCAAAAGTATCAACTGGGATGGTAATGAGGTAGCTATACTCTTAATGTAAAACAAACCAGAAAAGCTCTTCATTGCATAGGCAAAGTACAGGGTTTTTATTAACATTTAGTGAAATACTGACAGTACAGTACTGTCTGGGTTCTAA